TCAGCCACGCTCGGTTGGAATCGGGTCCAATTCGGTTTCCGTGCAGGTACCAATGGTGGGGGACCTACACCAGGAAGTTGCTCTCCAGGTAGTCCCGGGGGAGTAGCCGTGGCGGGCGGGGTGAGTGCCGGCATGGTGGTCGAGGTAGTCCCGGAGGATGTGGTCGATATAGCAAGCGGAATAGGGGGAACCACAGGAGCAACGGCCAGCGATAGGGCCTGCGGCTTTGGCAACGTGTCATAGGATTTGGCCCGACCTAGCAATCTCTCCGGCAGAGGCTGGTTCTCGGTCGAATTATGGGAAGGGTTGGTCTCGCTGCCGCCAGGTAGTCCTGTGGTAGTGACGAGGGGGGAGTCGGGTGCCGGTGACGGGGGATCCCCACCATGTGCAATCAGGGCGTTGATATCCGCGATGCGCCCTTGGTAAGTTTGGCGGAGTTGGACTAGTCGTTCCTTGTTTTGGGCGGAATCCCCGACCCGGTCAATAATAAGAGAAATCATATCTATGGCTTCACGGTAGGTCCGTTTGGCCTCTACAAAATGCCTCCGTTCGTCCAGTATAACCGCCGTTTGGGCCTTGCGTAGAGCCAAGTGTAAAAGAAACCGAAACGCGCCAGTGTTTTGTGTTCGCGCATTGGAAGTAGATCCCGTTTGGTCTGGCGGAGATGTGCCGTTGGGCAAAGCAAGGGCAGTAGTTGGTGTCATGATTGTATTACCGATGGAACCGGCGCCTGAACCGCGAGGGAATAGTACACCTAGTTGCCACAACGCTTAGCGTGGTGGGGGGGGGAAGGAGCGGGGAGGGATTGTCCGAACCGCAAGGCGTATTTCTCAGATTGTTACACAATAGAGGTAGAACAAGTGCAACCGTGGATGGTCGCAATGAAAAAAAAAGTGGAGCAGTGGACGACTCCCTTGTACACCTGCGCAACAGCGTTTGTTGTATGACGGAAACGTACGCCCGCACCGGGAAAAGTGGAAAACAAGAAGAGCAATACAAGAGCGTTTGTAAAAGCGTCAAAACAACCGAGTCCAACCCACGTTTTTAGGGGATAAAGGACGAAAATATTTCTTGGTGGCAGCACAGTAATAAAAAATAATGGGAGAAGAAATACAATAAAACTCATTCTCCGATTATCCATTTCCCATACTCTTTATGAGGAGTATAAAATACCTATTATCAGCTCCGACTCGAACCAAGGTACAACCAGCCAGCCAGTGCTTTAAAGCGGTCAGCAGGTAATATTTCCCAAAGGTCCATCCAGTGTATCCTGGAAAAGGAGGGCGTGGGATGATTAGCCCCCCCTCCTTCCCCTTGCCGAGCGCTCATCTCTTGATTGGTGGTTGGTTGGCCAGGCGATGTGCAACCCGGATACTCCTGTCGGCTAACTGCTTGGTGGGATTTGTGAGGGCTTCAAAGAGTGTCAAATTTCTAATCCTAGGCACTGGTTTAGACCAGGTATGGGCAGATACTGCGAATAAACAGGTCATGATTGTAGCTTTTGGGGATTATCCCAGCTATTTATTTGGTGCGGTGCCCCGGTGCAAAATTTAGGACAAAGGGGAATGAGGACGATATTGATGAGAGTTTGACTGCCCTTGAAACTCACACTCTTCTCTATCACCCAGGACAATCCAGTCGATGACAGCAACAGTAAGCCAAGCTAACGGCAGTGTATGCCTGGTGCTTTTCTTTCCCTTGTCAAACGATCCTCTTGCCAGGTTAAACTTGTTGGTTGAAGAGTTTGACCCGTTACGAATATATTAAAAAATTGAGGGGGAGGGGAGTATGCAAGATGGAGTGTATAGTGTAACTAGATCCTGCAGATATAGTTCCTGGATGGAAAGTTGGTCACCAGTTATCCAGTAACCAAGGCCTGGGTAACAGGCATAATGCTAAAACAGGCAAACGGATAGTACCCATTGAATGCAATCTGAGAGCTGGGCTAATTGGGTCTATATCATTTTAATTCACCACTTTTTTTTTTTTTTTTTTGAAAATCTCCTGGACCAAGCCGTTTAACGTTATGAGCTAATGCATTGTCGCTGGATAGGCCACACATGGGCGGATTAGTTGTTGTTGTTATTATTTTTGGTTTCTTCTTTACATATCACTACCCTTATATCAATCCAAGTGCACGCATCCCAGACTTGGCTTTATATACTTTTGGTATTCTTTGGGTGGCCAACAAATTACAGTTGATTTTCATGCCGATAGTGCCAGACAGTGGTAATGTGGTCCGAGTTTTGAGTCTGACCAAAGCCGAAACAACGTTCATCGAACCATGTGACATATTTTACTAGGGGGTTGTCCTTTGTATGCCATTGTGTGCTATTGGTATTACGGATTTAAGACTAGCCTTTTACCGTTTGCAAGTGGGCATCCCTCTGAACGACTTTTCTATAAAGGTGATGGCTATCAATACGATACCATCGAACCGCTTATCAAGGAAGACCCGACTGTACATCCTGAGAATGCTTGTACAGAAGACATTTTAGTAGTAGTATTCGGGATGGCCTCCTCAACAGGCTGAATTGTCGGCGGGGATTCGTTTTTTGGGTTCCCCGTTCTCTCACTTTGAAGATTCAGAATGACTACAAACAGTTTTGCCCCCATTTCATTCACCATTTTTAGAAACCAATCAACTCACTCGTGTATAAAATTTTATTAAGTGATGAAGCCTTGGGTTTACCTTGATATCCGCTGGTCTGTTAGTAGTCGAGAACTATTGATTCCAACACACTGTGGCGATTGCGGCATTCCCCCTATTCAGTTATAGTGGACTTTAACGCCACGAGTAAACAAGTTCTTTGGTAATATTGATATTTTTCATACCATAGTTAATACTACGAATGGAGTGTCGTTCAACTGATCACCTCTTCACAAGGGCCATGTACGCCCTTTTGTATGTCATGTATATTTCGGCCTTTGTAGATAAGTTTGCACTCCAGTTACTTAAAGCACCACCCTACTCTTCTGGCCTTGCACCATGTGACTTTTGGTTGTTCCCGCATATCAAGAAAAAGCTAGGGGATAAAATATTTGAAAACATTCGTGAGGTTACAGAGGTTTATAATAAAGTCCCCGGACCTTTACACTCAGATGATTTCCACATATGATTTTAATAAGTGGTTTCGTAGGATTCTTGCAGTCCTTCCTAACGATGGTAATTACTGTTGATAACACATGGGTTTCAAATAGTGAACTAGAACTTTTTTTTTTCCTTCCGATATAGTAGCTCAAAGTCAAAGATGGCAAAACTGTGGCCGATTACCCAACACTCGCGGTGGTCAACCTTGGGATTGGTAGTATTTTCCACATGTCACACCTACCATTGGCTGGCTAGTTCTGCTAGGCCCTTTGCTCCTTGTGACTGAATTCCTTTTGGTGTCGGAGTAAGTCGATAGTTTCCCTAGCTTACTGCATTTCATATAATTTCATTTTATACTTTTTATTTGACCTCATTATTCATATTTTTGTCTTGTTTTTTTTTAATAGCAATTTAAAGTGACCAAGTAAACAATATGGTATCCACAGCGACCGCCCAGTCCAAAAACAAAAAGGCTCAAAAGGGCAAAGGAAAAATGTAAGGGTAAAGGCAAAAAGTCCTACACCAAGACCCAAGACAATTTCGATGCCATTCTGGAAAGGTTTAAACAAGAAGTGCGGATTTCGGAGGGAAAAGGTGAGTTCCGCGGCGTCCCAGACTCCATTGTCCCAGTTGTACCCCGACGGCATTTTTTCCCAAAGGCGAGATTTGTCCATACCAGGACGACAATCTGTGGCGTACCACTAGTGAGGAAAAGCGACACTTGGAACGCCTTCATACCGCTGACTACAATAGTGCTCGTAAAGCGGCCGAAGTGCACCGTCGAGCACGCAAGTACGCGCGTGAGGTGATCAAATCCGGTGTGGACCTTAGCGATTTGTGTGAATTAAATGAGAATGGTACCCGGTCGTTGATTGAAGCCAACGGAATGGAAGCTGGGATTGGCTTCCCGATGGGAGTGTCATTGAACCATTGTGCGGCCCATTATACCCCGAGCGCGGGTGATAAAGTGGTCCTGAAAGAAGTCGGCGTCCTCAAGGTGGATTTCGGAACTCACGTCAAGGATCGAATCATGGATTCGGCATTCACTGTAACGTTCAACCCCAAGTACGATAATTTGGTCACCGCCGTCAAGGAAGCCACCAATGCCGGGATCCGAGAGGCCGGGATTGACGTTAGACTCGGTGACATTGGTGCCGTGATTGAGGAAGTCATGACGTCGTACGAGGTGGAACTGGACGGTAAAACCTACCAGGTTAAACCCATTCGTAATCTTTTCGGGCATTCCATTGACCCCTATATTATCCATGCGGGCAAATCGGTGCCCATTATCCGCAATGGTGACAGCACTAAGATGGAGGAAGGTGAATATTTCGCCATCGAAACCTTTGGTAGTACCGGTAAGGGTTATGTACACCAAGACGGCGTATGTAGTCACTATGCCAAAGTACCAAGTGCCACCGCCAAGTCTACCGGCGTGGCCCGGGCCAAACCGTTGCTGCAGTCGATTAACAAGCATTTTGGTACGCTGCCCTTTTGTCGCCGTTATTTGGACCGAGTGGGGGAATCCAAGTATTTACTGGGACTACGTAGCCTGGTTGACTCGGGCATTGTTGGGGCATATCCGCCGTTATGTGATGTTGAAGGTTCCTACACGGCCCAATTCGAACACACCATTTTGTTGCGTCCTACTTGCAAGGAAGTGCTAACCCGAGGCGATGACTATTAAGGTGGATAGGTTAAAAGACAAGATGGCGAGTAAAATTTTGTTTGCAATATTTTCGGTGAAACATTATTTTCAGCGTAATTCCTCGAAACCAACCATAAATTAGTTGGGGATAGTGGTACTAGTAAATTGAGTTGTTCTTCAGAGTGTAAAGTTTAGCGTCATGTTTGACTAGTGACAACCTTTGGGCTTGATGGGCTAGCCTAGTATTCAGAGTGGAAAAATTGACAGCAGCGGGATTCGAACCCATGAAGGCAAAGCCCATGAGATGCCTTGTATTTTGTTAAAAGTCTCACCCATTAACCAACTCTGGCATACTACCGCACATGATGGATAATATGGGGGAAGCAAATTTGCCGTAAAAGTAGTGTGTTTTTCATGATACTCACACCCCGCAAGGGAGTCTAACCTACTAGAAAAATGTCCAGCTGGGGCAAACAGAAGGGTGGAAATAATCTATACCATGTAATGGTCGGGAAAATACACTTTGGTTCAGCAGTAGGCGGGGGTACCCAAGCTAGGATATCAGTGTGTACCACATTATGGTGCTGCCTTCACCATTCCTTGATAGATGATTGAAAATAGTGCATGTGTGCGACATCAATGTAGATGTGGAGAAATAATGTATGACTATACTCATGAAATATTTAGTAGAAATTTGAATCACTTTTCTTTACTGCTTTCCATTGATAAAAATAAGGTATCTATGTAAACCTGTCATGATTATGTTTATTTCATGTTCGAGTCAGTTGTTTTCTTGTTACCAAAGTCAGTTGTAGTTCCGATATTTAGCATTAGTATTCAGTTGTAGTGTATTTTGTAGTCAGGGGTAGCTTCATATGCTATTTTCCCAAGGTATAAGTTAGTTTAGAATTCAATAGTTGCCGGAGACACTTGGAGTTTGCTATTTAAAAGGTGAACCTCCATATGTAGGGATAATTTTATGACGGCCTGTGAAGAGGACCCTGGATCTTTTCCTGCCGATTCCAAACCCATAGAATGATAAAATAAAATAAAACGTTACAATAATAATGATAGAAAATAACGAAATGAAATCAATATGATTCTACTACTAGATCACAATCGACCAATCTTATGATTAGTATTGTGATACGAAACGATTAAAACAAGTACGGCACTTGAGTGGAATGTCAAAAAAATAGAACAATTAACTGTACTAAGAAAGAATTTATTCTGTTAAAACATTCACGATATAGAATAAACAAAGTATTTGACTTAATGATGGACATTGAACCTATCAACAGGAATAGAACAGGTTTAAATGTACTGTTCCATCTCATCAACAAGAATGGTAAAAGAAAGGAAATTCAATCTCAGTATGAAATTTTTTACAAAAAATCTTGGAAAAGTGATGATTAAACCCACACTATCTTTCACAAAACTGATAAAATTTCACATGATAAATGGTTACTAAAAATAAACGGCTTTGGTACATCACAAGTTGGTAAATTATTTCAACATACCAACTTTGGTTCTGTACATATTCCCCAACCCTGAACTTTGTGCAGGGTGGAAACCTTCAGCAAAAACAATCAAAACTTAAACAATTGTCACAAATACTAAACTAATGCAAACAACATTCCTTGGTTACAAGTAAAAAAAAAGTTTTGAAATTACATGATTGAAACTTAAAAGAGAAAAAAAAAACCTTGTAAAATAAAAATATAATAGGAATTTGTACTACGTGTTCAGACTAATGATCTGAAATTTCTCTGCAAGTGTAATCCAGAAATCGACCTGATTAACTTGGAACCATTGAGTTTAGTTATTTGGTATACATCAGGATGTAGTACTTTCTTTACCAGAAATGGGCCTCACCATCTTTCACGTAATTCCCCTTCAACATGAGTAAGCCAAGAGTTATTCATGAGAACCAGATCTCCCTTCTCAGTTGGAGAAGAACACAATGGTTATGATCGAAATACATCTTGTTCTTCTCCTGCAATTTCATGAAACTCTTGCTTCTGGACTAGCTGGAAAGCCAAAAATGCCAATAACTCTTCCATTTTCATGGATGTTTTCCACAGTAACAAAAACCATGTACTTTCCTTGAGGTCAAATGGCAGAATGCACTCTTGTCTGTAAATGAGTTGATAAGGAGAATACCCTGTTGTACTTTTAACCATAATCCTATTGGCTTACAAAACTGCTGGTAGATACTGATAGGGCTGGGTTCAAATCAAATCAAACCAAATTTTTGATTATTGAAATTTGATTTGATTTGAACCCAGTTCTAATGTTATAAATGGGACTACAGAAAGTAGAGGCCTGAGCTGAAGGATAAATAAACTAAATGTCAAATTGTTTTAATGATTAAGTCAAAGAATATCAAAAAGAAACAACAGACAGATTACACCACAACTGTACAAGTTTCTGAGACGCCAGGGAACTGCAGTTCAGCATAAAGCTATGCCAAGGAACTGAGTAACCAAAGGTCAGGATCAAACAATGATTGTTGTGTGCTTTATCCAGAGGGGTGACCACCCAGGTTTATACATTGCAAGATCTGGGTGGCACAGTCTCTAGGATGAAGGCTACCTCCCATCCTGGCCAGTAAAAAAACAAAGAGCAAACAAACAAAAGAATGAGCCAATGGGTTTTGTCAATCCATGGGTGCCACCAAACCATTGGGAAGTTCAATGGATGGCACAGCTCATTGTGGAACAAAATGAGTGGTGTAGTATCAACTTAATGGTAAATGTCATGGGGTTTGTTGGAGGAGAGCTTTTTATCAGCTTCTTTCCCACAGCTGCCATCTTTTTCTATAATATTTCTTGACCTTATCTTTAAATAAGACACTTTTTGCCCATAAGATTTTAGTGCTTCTTTTTCTGTGTATGTTGATCCCAACAACTGGTTGCAAATAGGCCTTCACTGGGCTTTGTTGTCTTACCCCAGCCATATTATTGATCAGTTACTAAGTTTTCTTCTCTGCATTGGGTTCCCTCATGGAACCTCTTGAAATCTTTCCTAAAACAATAAATAAATAACTAAAGTATTACTCAATTGTCTTCAATAGAATAATTTAGGTGTCACTTGTTCAGCTCAGCCTAAATTAATCTTATCAAAACACAATCAAATTACAATAAAACTCTACTCAACTTCCTAAAATTCCATATCCAAAAGAAAAACTCCATGATTTATTTTTGTGAGGACTCTGTGTCCAATTTATATCAATTCTAATCGAAATAAAAAGATAAAACCAAAGTCAATAAACTCATTAATCCATGAAAAACATACTAACTGACCAGTTGGTCTTGATACCATACTGGATTCACCAAAATGAGTGCTAACTTGAAACAAAATATCCACAAACCCAATAATAATCAGAGAAAATTGCCATGTTACTGTGGTTCTAAAACAATCATTGACAATCAAAACTGACTAAATATGAAAGTGTGCAGTATACACCAGCACCACATTACCAAAAGAAAATACTAAGAAAGAAAAACATTCCAAAAATGGCAGTGTTTCTGTGGCCCTGTGCCACCAATCAAATTTGCTGCACCAATTTGAGCCTGTGGAATTTCTGCTACCATAACTGCTCCAAAATCTGGCTCCTCAATGGGAGCTAAAATTATTTAACATGAATAGAATTTACCCACTAGCATAGTCACCTGACTTTGTCCATAACCCAAGTCAGGTTACCTCATTAGAGTTTTGCAATCCATTAGTTTCTGAACTGTGATGCCTCTAGGAGAGCCCAATGAACAGCATGTTGTCGCAGGGTGGGAAAGCTAGACTCTAACTTTTGCACTCTGCGACTGTTTGCTGGAATACATTTTTATTAAAAAGTGAACCATAAAAATAAATTGAAATTTGTCATCTCATTAAAATAGAAGCATGTGTAAAAGTTACACGATCCAAGCAGGACTCGAACCTGCAATCTCCTGATCCGTAGTCAGGTGCCTTATCCAATTTGGCCATTGGACCTCGTATACACATTTTTTCCCATTGCATTTGATTTTTGTGAAAAATTACATCATCCTCGCACCTCCTGTAATAAAAGGCACTATAGGAGCAGTGGCCTTCTGGTAAATAAACTAATATGAAAACGGGGTTAGGGTTAGGGATTAAGCATTTATTGGGCTTTGGAAACTAATCCAGGGCTAGTTTTAAAACAGTTCCATAAAAACAGC